CTGCCCCACACACAGCCCAGAGCAGGCAGTGGAGGCGACTCCGGAGCCGGGCACCAAATGCCTCATCTGCATGGAGCCTGTGGAGGACAGAAAGACCTTCAACACCCTGGTGTGCCCAGCCTGCAAAACCACCTGGTTCCACAGGGACTGCATCCAAGTAGGAGTGGTTCCCTCAACCCGGGGGGCACGGCAGGGGCTCAGCAGCACCAGGGCCTCACTCTGGCTGCTTGTGTTTCTCCTGCAGGGACAGACTCTGCATGCTGGTCTTTTATCCCTCCAGTGCCCTCTCTGCAGAAATGATGACACATTTCTCATGGATATGTTCACCATGGGGATCTGAATCCCCTTGAGGTTGGTGTCCTTCTGCCTGGCTCACAACACAGGGAGTGCAAGTGCTGTGCTGTGCCAGGGCCTGCCCCAGCAGTCCTGGCCCTGCACTGTTCCGTGAGTCCTGGGTTCAGCTTCACACAGGAGTGGGAAATGGCACAGGGGGAAGAGCAGGGACACCCTGCACCTGCGCAGTGCTGGGACAGAGGGAGCTCATCAGTTTTCTCTTTTCCCATCAGACCACCATCATGGGAGAGCAATAATGCATTCACCAAGTTCGGAGAGAGACACGGGCACTGCGATGCCAGTGAGTGCCTTTGTCCAGGAGGCAGGCAGGAGGCAGAGCAGGAGGGGTAAGTTGCCAAAGCTGCCTCCTGGGGCTCTGCAGGGCTTGAAGCAGAAGGACCCAGGAGAAGAGCTCAGCACCTCCATGAACCCGTTTGCTTCCCCAGGCCCTGGGAACTGCTCCTGTGCTCCTCCTGTGCTGCCGAGGGCACCCACAGACACTGCTCTGGCCTGGGGACAGCATAACCAGCTGGGAATGTGATGGCTGTGCAATCCTGGGCACAGGTGAGAGGTGAAGCACCCTGGTGGTCCTGGGCCTGGTGCCCCTGGGCCTGGCAATGGGTGTTCAGGGTTGGCTTGGCTGAGCTTGTCTGCTCCAGGAGGGCTGGGGGCACTGCTCTGGCCTAT